CTCAAGACCTTCTTCAGAACTAAACCAAAGTAGAATAAGGTGAGACATCATTGGATGTCTCCCCTTCACGCGCAAAACCTGTAATCACATTTACTTAATACTCTTTTTTTGATGTAGATTGTAAATAAACATAATTATAATAATAAAAAAAAATATTACCATATTTTATCAATGTAAATTTAGAAATGCAATCAGAATCAATTGAAATACATATGTTATTTACAGGAGTTGAAGGTGTGTTACGAACTATACTAGACTGTTTCCTTAAGCAAGATTATTTATTAAAAACTCCCTTGAAAGATATCGAATATAAAAATCCGCACAATTTCGTTGCCATTGAAGACATGTATTTGGGTGCTAAAATTTCTGATGCCATAGCAGACAATGTTCATGGTTTAACGGATATAGAATTATTGAACTTCCGTAAACACTGTTTCAATTTTTTTATTGAAGGTTGTTATCAAATTTATAGTCGGTTTGACCCTAGAAATAAATCCATTCAAATTTTGCAAAAACTAACAATAATATCACCATCAGAAGTTCTTTCAAAAAAACATATCACAATTGCTCCCTTAGCAACAAATTTTCCAAATTTAATTCCTCCTGATCAACTTAATAAACTTGACCAAGAGTGGCGTTTGTTAAGAAACAGCGATTTAGTTGATTTTGGAAACTTAGATATAAATACATTCTGACAAAAAAGAGCAAACTTGAAATTAGGTGATGATTCGCAAATGTTTTCCACTTTATGCAGTTTTGTTTTCAATCTTGAGAGAGTGTTTTCACAGGTAAACCTGAATATTACAGGGAATTATGCACACCAAAGAGTTATTGAAGACCAAAACCTGTTTTAATTTCCAGATTGATAACAATCCAATTAAAAAAAATGAATAAATCCATATATGAAAAAAGCAGTAGTCACTAGATACAATTATTAATTTGTTGTCAACTATAGGTATTTGATCATTATTATTTGTTTTATTTTACCATATTTATGCAAATATATTGTAAGTTGTAATTAAGTATGCTATATTTTATTACATCCCGTTCTCAATTGTATTATTTAGAATTATGTTTTTAACAATATTAGTTGCTTTGTTTATGTAAATAATGACTCAGAATTCAGAATTACCTTTTAAATTTTTAGGTTAGGTTAGTATTTAGTAGTGATTTTGTAATGTTTTCTGTTTTTATTAAATAAATGTTTGTTCCATTATGTATCATTATTATTATTATTTATTTTTCCCTGATATTTTATAAACATTGCCAAGAAAACATTCAACATTGTGAAGTTAAATTGACAGCTGATAATTTCTTTTTTTTTTAATTCTGTCCATTGATAGAATTCTATCCATGGTCAAATTGTTCCTTGGGAACTGAGCATCGAGTAAAAAGACAAAAGAAAAAATGTAAAGGTAGTGAGGACATAAAAATTGTTAGACAGGAAGTGCCATCTTAAGAGGCCACTTTAAACAAGGAAAGACAGTCTCTTTCCTTGTTTAAGAAATCAAATTTAGTTTGGTTATGTTATTTTTTTTCCAACTGTCACATGAAATTTTATTTCTATTTAAGTTTTTTACCAATTGTGTCACATTTTAGACTATTATCGTTAATAATTAATTAAAACTTTCTCGTCTGAAAAATATTTTATATCTATTCTTAATAAGTCACAATAAGTGTCGGAAAATTTAAATTTAGCGCCTTTGCATTTCCGGATATGTCCGCCATGAGAGGCCACTTTTTTGATCTCCTTTTCATAACGATTAGATTCCCTCTGTTGTCTTTTTGCTCGATGGAACTGAGTTAGGGATTTCTAGGGGAATTTGAAGCTCCCGTCTAGGGAGATTCTGAAATTTCATATGGCAACCCTGGATCTATGTCCGGCGGCAAACAAATTAGGTGGGAAGTTCGCGCCAAAACAGATGTTTTGACAGGGTCGTCATTGCTTCCAGCGTTGCCACTGCTTTATGTTAGACTATTCGTCATCTTATCTACTTCGTCAACTTAGCCCCCTTCCCCCTACAATATGTTTGTTTTTCCAGGTGTGTAAAGACTTGGTTTGTGTAGAATAACTTTTAAATTTTCTAAAGGCATAGAATAAACATCATCTGAAATATTTTTCTTTGGTTTCCGTGTTTTCCACGTTTTTCATCAAGTGGCTTTTTCTCAACAATTTTTTTCTGTAATATTCTTAAACGCTTCACTCCTACTTGATATAACTCAACAGAAAAGGAACGGGACACGGGCACATCACAATCAGAAGTTTTAAGCTTGTATTTTCAGTGATACTGGCTGCTAATTTTGGAATTTTCTATCTTTCTATACTCTATACCTTTCTGAAGGCTCCCCTAATGCCATACAACCTGCTAGAAGAGTGTCTTGTTCTTTTTTGGACCATTATTATAAAAAGAGTGAAATAAACACTTTTGATTTTGCGAGGTTATTTTTGCAAAACATTTTTCTTCACAACACGTAACAGAAAATACCTTAATCTGTATAGTTTTTTCCGTTAATTGTGACACATACTCCTGTCCACTTGTGTCCACTCTGTCTCTTAGATTTTGCCACATTTTCTTTCCAGTGGTCTTTTTGAACAATTTGACACGGCGTTATCTAAAATAGCTTTACGTTTAGCCATTGCTTTAAAATATACTTAAACTTACAGTTTAAAATATAACATAACCTCGATCACATTATCAAAAATTTACCAAAACAGAGTTGATTTAGAGGCACAAAACTTTCCCAGCTGTACCAACACTTCACTAAGAAAAGTGTTGTGTCAACTTTAAAAATCGTAATATGGTAGAAAAAATGGGAGACTGACAAAGAACAACATAAAGAGTTCAATTTTGTGTTCTCCGGAAGAAGGGCTCATAGGCCTATAGGGCCTTATTCTGACCACCGCCTTAATTATTACCATATCGGTGGTGTACATTACTTTTTGAATAGTGGTTTCCTAACATTTCAGTCAGAGTCAGCTGACTCAATCGCAGACAGCTCCCAATACGTCGGCCTTAAAATAAATATGACAAAAACAAAAACAATGACAAACACAGACGATCCCAGACGTATAAAACTATAAATCTCAGTGAGATAGAACAAGTCCAGGAATATATTTATGTACCTAGGCCAAATTCTTAAATTTGACAAAGACAACTTAAATGCGGAAATCACTAGAAGAGCAAGACTGGCATGGACAGGATTTGAAAAAAAAAACAAACCTGAACCATTACCAAAGCAAATATGAATAAACTAGCGACAACAGAAAGGGCAATGAAAAGAGCCATTTGAGGCATACGACTGAGTAAGATAAAAAGATAAAAAGAAGAACGACTGAGTAAGATCAAAAACGAAAGTTAAGGATATCACAACAATAATTTCCAAACTCAAATGGAGCTTCGCAGGTCACACTGCTTAAACAAAAAGACCAACGTTGGAACGCCACAATACAACATTGGAGACTTTACAACGGTAGACGACCAAGAAAAAGACCACAGATTATTAGATGAGTATATGACATAAAAGGAATATCCGGAAAAAATTGGAAGTATGTTGCTTAGGATAGAGATTAATGGAAGGAGTTGGGAGAGGCCTATGTCTCAAAATGGACGATAGAAGGCTATGAAAAAGAACATTTAAGTCAGTTAACATGAGTATATGAATGCCATAGTGTTTGAGAAATACTTTGAGCAAATAATAGAGCTAATTAAGTTTCCTTAATATAGTACGGAACATTATTCAAAACAATTATTGTTTTGAAGTAGGTACCATTCAAGATCTGAAAAATTGCTTACAACTGCTTGAAAAGAAGCACAAATAACTCGGTGGCTTTCGGAGAAAGAAATAGAGTTTAAAGATATGGTGGTAAAGAGCAGATATTAATTGCAAATGTACACATTGGTTTTAAAAATAAGTTGATGAAAAAAATGAGTATTTTATTACTTTGACTTCCTCCCTCCCCTGCGGATTATTGGAGTTTTTTTGAATAAGCCTATTGAACTTTTATGAGAGCAAATGGAAAAGTCTGACAAGAAAAAAATGTACATATACATGTAAAATGCAGAGAAAGCAAGTCAGTATAGAAATAAATAAGTTATTTCAACTTAATCTGCTGTTTTATTGACAGGATTGTATATTATGTAGATATAAAAAGGGCTAATACGTAGTAGTAAGATAAATTGTATAATGAAAATTGAAGACAATCTATGTCAGTATCTTATTAGATTGTCATATTTTCGTTTTCTTCGGTTTACAGAAATCCCTTTACCAAATTCTAGATTTGTAGAATTACGATTGTCTCTAAAAACAATACCGAAATTTAATTGATCAGATAGTTACATAAAATGTGGATTATTAATTGTGAGAATTGCTCATATTATAATATACGCAATATGTATTGTTAGTTGCCGTATAACTGGCTGATCCTCAAAATTCAAAGAAACCTTTAAATTATAAAGTTTGAGTTTACAATTCGCCAAAAGATGGGGTAACGATCAGTCACTATTGTACTTTATGTTTATATAAAAAAGCTATAAAGATAAAAAGCACATTTTATAATTATTATTCTGACAAAAACATTTGTATTGATACAATAATATTTAATTTCGTTTTTTGTAAATATATTTATATTTTTTAATTTTATTTGCTTTTATGTGCGTATACAATGTTAATGCTGGAGTATACTTATCGATTTGATGATTAACTAATAGATGCTTATATATACCATTTATCAAATATATAAATAAAAATTGATGAGTTCTCATAGTTCAAATTCAAATAGTTCAAGTAGTTAATAAATTATGTTAAAACCAAATAGTGTTTATCATGGTGTGGGTGAAAAAAATTTCAAATTTCCCGCCTAGCAAAAGGTCAAATGGATAGTGCTAGACCAGTCTTCTGAAACGAAACAGTCATTTATTTACCTAGAGAATTGTGAGTGGCAGGTGTAAGGTCATGAACCTTATTCAGTAAATAGGGAGTGTAGTGGTATCGTCCTGTTCATATTTTTATTGAAAGGTCAAATTTATTCACTTCAAGAAAACAAACTAACCAATGTAAAGAAATATGTGAGTGTCCTAAAACAAAATATTATGCTATAATTGTAAACACAGTTCTGATGTTATTATTGTTATAAGAACATGGACACAGTTTAATGCTTAAAAGAAGCTATATACTGTGACATGGATATGGAACCGACTATTAAAACAGAAATGTTAGGTGACAAAAATAGAAATAATTCTAATATCTGTTTAACTGTTGAACTGTGTGTTGTTTGTGGAGACAGAGCATCAGGGAGACACTATGGGGCAATTTCCTGCGAAGGTTGTAAGGGATTCTTCAAAAGGTCAATTCGTAAACAATTAGGATATCAATGCAGAGGTAACCAGAATTGTGAGGTTACCAAACATCATAGAAATAGGTGTCAATATTGCAGACTACAAAAATGCCTTGCTTGTGGAATGAGAAGTGATTGTAAGTAATTTTAATATATTTTTATTGTTTGCTATTAACAATTCCCTTTTGGGTCATATGGGAACAAAGTTTCTATATGTGTTCACAGATTTAGTCAAAATTTAAAAATATAGTTATAAGTTCAGAAGGTAATTATTTACCCAATTAATTTTTAAACTTTTAAGCTGTGCAACATGAACGAAAACCTGTCATTGATAAGAAAGAATTCCCTAGTAATAATGATATTAAGTTTAACCAATCTACTGTAAATGTCGTTAAAAAAATATTTATAAGAAAAGACTTAAATTCAGAGTATGGGCTCCTACCTCCATTTTGTCCTAGTGATTTGGGCCTTCAGTTTTTAAATCAAGGAATAGGTAAGTTTAAATTTAATTTTAGTTAAAATTGTATGGAATTAAGCTATTTTAATTATACCTAGTTTTTAAGCAATATCTAGTAATCCTAGTTGTCATACTCATTTTTTCCATAGGCCAAAATTAGCTAATGTGCTTTACAGCTCTTCTTTTAGCTACAATGCCTTGTATATGTTTTAACCACATTGGTCCAAATCATTTTATCATTAATTTGTTCTTCTAAACAGTTCTGTAGATGACATTCTGGTACATTGCTTTATACTTTTTAACTATATTTTTCATCAGTAGCTGTCTGGTCTGCTTTCAATTTTATCATACTGTATTGTTCTCTTTATTTTATTTAGTATTAATTTGTGAATTTGGTATTTGTGAGATTTTTATTCTTGTCTATTTCATTTCTCTTTTTCATTAATTGTAGCATTTCGTCACTCATCCATTCTTCATACTTTTTTATTATTGTATTTGGTTTTAGTTTATGTCTGGCAACAGTAACAATGACATTCTTAATATTGGTATACAGTTCATGTAATGTTACTGTTAAGCACATCTTTTGTTGCTTTCTGTCTCTTATTAGATATTTTATATTATGTCCTATATTGTCTTTAACAAGTTTTTTAATTAAATTTTGCTAATAATATTATTTGGTCAGAGTGTATATCCACTCTGGGATATATTTTCATGGATTCAATATCTCATTTTTACAATAAGGTTCAGGTTATTGCCTAGAGACTTGTTTTAGTATTTTTCAAGGTTGAAATATTTTCATGTTTATTCGCTTACTAATGTTAAGAGGGTATGTTCACACTGCACTTAAAATGAGTGGCATTCAAATAAACTAATGTTTAACAATAATTCTTTGAGTAAATGGCAGTATGTACATCATATTCTAATACATATTTTAATTTTCCCAAAATTTAATTCTCTGAGTGATATTGTTGCCAGCTATGCTAAGTACTGGAACTTCCACTTGGTAAAGTTCACTCTCAATCAGCAGTCTTCTTTAATGTAAGTTGATATTAGTTATTAGTTGAAGCTTTCGTTGAAGTTTCACAAATTCTAATTTTTTGATTGAATCATTGGATATACTTTTTATATCCTGTTGTTGTTTATTTACCTTTGAGGTTAAATTGTTGTTTTGATTTTGATTGTTGTTTTTTTAGTTTTATAAACATTTTAAATAGTGTATACCAGTCTCATTGACTGAATATTTTTTAACAATTCTAAGTATTGAAAATAGATGTAAACACTAAAAAGTCCTACTATACATTTCTTCATTCTTTTTTTGTAGAAAATTATAAGAATAGGAAAAACTAATGCAATATAAACAAAGTTTTACTAATCTATCTAATCAATAACAAATACCTTTTTACAATAATTTGGTGACTATGGTACTTCAGCAAAAGAGGCTTTTTGATAATGAACCTAACGGCAAATTCTCACGAATACATAAAAAATGTTCATTAATTTGGAAATATTTTATTACTTAATGTATTTAAACAGCATTCAAATGACAATTCTTAATTCTTTACCTGCTCAAAAATATTTATTTCAAACTGATAAAGAAATTTGCAATTGTTTGAAATACTAGTAAATAATAATGATACAAAAATGGAATATGCTAATTCTCAAGTGAATGAAGATTGATTTACTATTGATTTATAAGAAGAATATTTCTAAGAAATCTAAAATATGTAAGTAAGTTGAAAAACATTGTCACTACAATTTTTTTCATTTTAAATCTAAACAGGGGAAGTTTTTTCCTTAGAAAATTTCACATTTTCATCTCTTTTCCAATTAGGTACTACAGTGGAACCTCAATTATCCGTCAGGATACAGGACCAAGGGTATGACAGATAATTGAAAAGACAGTTAATAGAACATTAAAAAAAATTCATAGTATAACTCTCAAAGTTTATTTGTATGTTTTATTTGATAATATAAGAGTGATTTATGTTAGTACAGTCAAATCAATTTGATTTAAAATATTCCGAAATCTTTGTTTGTTTTATTGTTACTTTACATTTTACAATGGCTAAATTTCTTAATCGACAAAAAATCATCAAATCTACCTTATTTGTTTCTTCTTGCCGAGAATAATCGATAATTTGTTGTATGTGCGATCTCTAGCTGTTCTCTAGCTTCTTTACGCAAATCTTTATGAGTTGCAATAGCATCATCAATATCGCCACCATCATAGTCTATGTCAGCTTTTGAATCAGTTTTGTCCGCCTTTGTTGTCATTTCAACAATTTCATCATCTGTCAGCTATCGATAGCAGTTTGCGTCCTCATCACATATTAACCATTCGTTTATGTCATCTTTAGGCAACGAAAACACAACAGTTGATTCAGTAATAACTTCATTTTTTACCGCATCACGCTCGGCTGTCACGAGGCCATTTTCATCTTGAGTTGATTCAGGCCATAATTTATTCCACACTCTTTTCAGTGTTACTTCCGAAACATCAGCCCAAGCATCCACAGGATTGTCGACTGGTGTTTTCAATTGTATGCTTTCCAATATATTGGCAAAGAATATTCTTCTTCCATAGCTAGGTTTTGAATAAATTTTTTTTCTGTATCTTCTTTTGAATGTTTCAATGGCCGATTGATTCATTGGGTGTACCAATGATGTTGTATTCGCAGGCAGAAAAGAGCACGTGATATTTCCATCGTCACTTCGCACCATACCGGCCTTAGAATGGGCAAGTGCATTATCCAAAATGAGAATCGCCTTTGGTGGCAAATTTTTTGCTTGCAAGTATTGTCGAGCGTCCGGTATAAAAACCTAAAAAACAATCTATGCATTATGTTGTGCGTCGTAGTTAACGGAAATTGCGTTTATATTTATGCCCTTGAAACAACGTGTTTTTTTTTGTTGTACCAATCAATAATAAGAAGGCGATTGTCATCACTTGCATTCAAACACATCATTGCTGTGATTCGTTGCTTTTGCGTTTTAAGTCCGAATACATATATTTCAGACAGTGCAGCGAGTATTTTCGTTGGCAATGCTTTGTAGTTTTAATGAGTTTCATCTGCATTGAACACTTGATCGCGTGTCAAAGCATATTCATCGATTATAGCTTGAACTTTCTCCTATATTTGTCAACGACTTCAATACTTACGGCGCTCAATTTTTCACCTTCGATTTTCAGTTCCCATTTACCGTGGCGATTTTTGAACTTTTCCAACCAACCGCTGCTTCCTTTGAATGAAGGATCGCCACTCAATTTCAAGTTGAAAAACAACGCTTTTTCGGCAACAATTGGTCCAGACAAATAAACACTTTTCGCTTCTTTTTTGAAAGAACCACAAATCCAGAGCCGTATCGAGTGATTCATTTGTGGTTTTTTTTTCATTGTCTTCCGATGTTTCACCCGGCCATCCAACGATTCCATTTGCGAAGCATACTTTTCAATTCCTTCAGCATTTTTCTTTAAATCATTGATTGTTTTTCTCGGAACATTATACTTTTTGCTCAATGTGACAGCAGAAACACTTTTCTTTAGTTCTGCAAAAATTTTAATTTTTTTTTTTAACTGACAACAACACGTTTTCTTTTTGATGCTCCAGATGTGGAAGGCTCCATTTTTCAAAACTTAATTGATCAAACGACTAAGTGACACAATCAATGTTCGAATTAAAATCAAACTGAATTATGGTGACACACAGATATTGACTGTAATAATTATTGTACTGTGCGTTTTTATTTTCGGCTTGCGATTATAAAAATAGAACTCTAAAAGCACGGTATCATTTATGATCACCTATTTAAATTAAAATTAAATTCAGAACCCTGAATAAGAACAAAAATTATTTACGTAAAAAAAGTGTGTTGATGGCATAACTGCACCTGACCCTGACAGTTAACAGAGGTGACGGTTAATAGAGAGACAGATAATTGAGGTTCTACTGTACCTAAATTAATTTCAATATTTTTTTTTACTTAAGGAAATATTTAAATGTACTGACAAAAATTAATCAATGATTACATTATGTTGTCCAACTAGGCCAAAATGTTTACTGGAAGGGGTCGCTTTGCCAAACAAAATAGCATGATTCATATTTCCATGGTTACTGCATACCTTTTAGTCAAGGAGAGACATAGACAATTTGCATAACCACAAAACAATTTGTTTTCAATGTTTTGCAGATTTTTCTTGAATTCAGCAAACGCGCATCTGTCGCCATTTACCACATCACTGCTGTCTTCTACAAAATGATATATGAACTAATTTCCCCATCTATTAAGTGACAGCTGAACTAATTTCTCACACCCAAAATGACAACTTGTTATAGTAATATTAACAAAATCGCTAGTTTGCATATTTTAATTGTAATTTTATCATTAAATACAGTTAATTTAAAGATTACGGCAGTATCGATGATGAAGGTTTGTTTAAAATAAAGCTTTTTGGATAGTTAATCATTTAACGTAGTTATTTTGTACTTAAATTCAAAAATTATTAGACAATGCCAAATTTTAGGCATGATACCAATTAAGTTATGACAGGGGCTCATTTAAATGCAGTTATAAAAAATTAATTTCTTTTTTTTTATTTTAACTAGATATCATTAAAATAGAAAGTTTATAGTTCACATACATAATCATGAGTTGAAGATTTGTTTTGAAATAGTGATGATAACTGTATCTAAAAAGTGCCATACCACTTTAACAATTTAAATTCTAGCCAAAATGGGCAAAAACTGGGTTTTTGTCCTTCCACTTGTACTCCTTTTTTCTTTTAAACTTTTGCGTACTGATCCTGTAGTTATCCCACATTGTCTGATCTCCCCTTGTATGTATTGATGTTAAAAATCCTATTCTCCATTCTTCTTATGTTTTTCTATACAGATTGAACCAAATTAAAACGGAACATACAATTTAATACATGTCTGTTTGAACTGTATTTGAAATAGTGGACCAATATAAAACTTGGACAAAAATAAATCCATACCTGGGTATAGACATTGTATAAAATATCGTTCAACTATCTGTCG